CAGAACCCAAAGCTCAAGTGCCTGTGACTCCCAACACCTTGACTCACATCAGGGCTCCGAAGGTCCAGCCTGGTCCAGGCTCACTCAGTGCGCCTGTGCTACAAGGGACTGGGGCTCCACCAGCCTATGCCAGGGGTAAAAACAAGACTGATGACTGTCCAGCCATCTCCACCAGCCGCTGGCTCAGCTCGGCTTTGCCACTTAGGCAGCTTTTCCCTGCTCCAGACAGGTCTCAGCAGTCTGTGTGTCTGTTGGAGCCACGCAGCCTCTAGGACCAGTAACCGCTGCTGGACCTTCTTTGATTTCTTAGTGGAGAAACTGCTGTTGACTAGGGTCTGTTGCTAAGATCATCTGCTAAAGACCATGGCTCAGTGTGCTCTGAGACGGTCAGATGGTCCTTACAATCTTGTTCCAGTTCCAACAGCTTCAGCCTTGACATAGCTACCACGTCTCTTCTTTCTCAGACAGACCTTTAATGGCATTTTGTGTAGAGTACAACTGTTCTCAATCCCCATGTGTAAGAAATCAGGCAAGGAGGGTGAGAGACTGGCATGGCTGAGTCAGGACCTGCTGGTCAAACTAAAGAGCAAGATGGAAACACACAGCCAGTGGAAATGGGAACAGGTATCCCAAGAGGAGTACAGGGACCTTGCCCAGCTGTGTGGGGAAATGGTGAGGAAGGCTAAGGCACAACTGGAGCTCACCTTGGTGAGAAATACAAAGAATTATAAAAATATTTTCTACAGTAATGTCAGCCAGCAAAGAAACATCAAAGACAGTGTACCCTGCTGATAAACGTGACTGGCAAACTGGTAACAAGGGACAAGGAGAAGGCTGATGAGTTCAGCCATGCTGTGCAGGATTGTTGATCTGGTGGAGCACAGGAAGGCTCTGCAGAGGGGTCTGGGCAGCCTGGGTTGATGGGCTGATAGCTGATGTATCACATTCAACAAGGCCAAGTGCTGGATTTGAATCACCACAACCTCAGGCAGCACTCTAGGCTGGGAACAGAGTGCCTGGGAAGCTGGAAAATGACCTGGGTGTGCTGGTGGGCAGTGGCCAAACATGAGACAAAATGTGCCCAGGTGGGCAAGAAGGATAAACGTGGGACAGTATGAGCCCAGGTGGGCAAGAAGGATAAACGTGAGACAGGATGAGCCCAGGTGGGCAAGAAGGATAAACATGAGACAGGATGAGCCCAGGTAGGCACCTGGCTTCTGTCAGCAATAGTGTAGGC